GGTCTCAGCCCACAGTGACCACCATCCCTTCCTCAGTAGCTCAGAACCATTCCCGTTACTGTGCAGCCAGCCAGTGCAGACATGTGAGTACCAGGCTGCCCACACAGTACTGACGCCATGCAACCCAGGAGGAGCCAAGAACCTTCGTCCCCCTCCCCCAGCTCCCTCCTGCCTCTGTTCAAACACGGCCCTGAATTACTGGCACCTGGGCTAAAATTTGCCTAGCAGAAAACAAATAGCCACTTCCAAACATGACATTATCCACTGCTCTCTTTTTTTCTCTTGTGGCTAGGGCCAAAGAGTCCAATTGGCTAAGTCATCTTGGTAAACAAATTGCTAGATACAAACCTACTTCCCAGTGCACACAGCTCTTGACGCAGAAATAAAGTCAGTTTTTTTGACTGTTAGTTCCACACAACACAGCCTCCTGCTCTGGGCCTGTAGAGTTGTACTGATGTGGAAAGTAGACCAAGGGTTGGTCCAAGGCAATCGCCTCATTCAAAATGTGCTATTCACACCTTCTGACTATTCATTTATCCCTTCATCCTAAACACTGATTTCCAACTGCGACTCAATATTATATAAAATTCCCAGACTCTGTTTCCCCAGACCATAACAATACATGGTATTGCTACTACATTTAGAGTAAAATTGGGTCTTCAATGCAAAACTAATTGGCCTTGACAAACCGAAGTCTAAGCTGTCATAACACACGTTTTCTGTTAGACATAGCTGGGTTCGAGTTCTATCCCCACCATTTGCTACTGCTGCTATGTCTTTAGGTGAGTTACTTAACTCCTCTGAGCCTTATTGTCCCTGTTTGTCAGATGGGGAATCTACCTCCTTGAGTTGTCATCGAAGATTAATGTTAGCAAAATAAGATTTCATAGTGGATGCAAACTATGAAAGTCCTAAAATGTATCAACATTAACTTTGATCAATAGCTAGAGATTTAATAACTGTATTAGAAACACAATAAAAAGGACAGAAGGGAATATTAAAATTTGGAAGCATTTTTTTAGAGAGATTTTTCACTATAAGGCATGTACGCTCACAGAGAGACAGAAAGACAGGAAGCGAGAAATCACCGCTCCCTCCCTCACCCCGGTCAGGGGATGGCCATGCCATAATCCCTTCTCTTCCATTCTCCTCTTGGGATTTTGGACACGCACATGCCCCCGGCATGAGTTTGAAGCCACTGGGTCCAGGACTCGAACCACAGTCAGCTATGTGGGAATCCAGTGACGTAACCATTACGCCATCTGCTGGTCCCAAAATTTGGAAGCATTTAAGCATTGGATTAACAACATGTACAATTGAAACACAAGGATTCCAAAGGTCTTTAAACTAGTTATACTTTATCCTAAAATCCATTCTTTCCTGCTGGACAATAATTTTACCTGGTAATATCCTCTTCTTCCTATTATAATAAAAGCTAATGGTAATAATTTATTGGGTATATTCTTCATACCAGGCACAGTTATGAGAGCCTGTGAACACATTTAATCTTCCCAGCAACTCTGAAATTAGTCATATTATTATGTTTTAAGGTGGGAAACCTGAGGCAGAAGTCTGACTCTAGAACTCACTCTTGAACTCTCTGATCAAAGTCAGAAGTTGGCAAACTATGACCAAAGTGCCAACTCTAGCCTTCCACTTGTTTCTGTAAATAAAATTTTATTGAAGCACTTCAATTCTCACTTGTTTACATGTTGTCCATGGTGGTTTGCATTACAATAGAATTGAGTAGTTGCTACAGAGACCCTATGGCCCCCAAACCTTAAAACATTTACTAATTGGCCCTTTACAGAAAAAGGTTGCCCACCCCTGATGTCAACTTTAAACTTCACTAAAGGACAGGGATTTGGAAGGGAAAGAACTAATACCTTATAAGAATAATGCCTCATATTTGGTTTTCCCGGTGTGTTTGTACATATCTTTCCTACTTTATTCTCATAACAGTCCTGTGAAGTAGGTAATCTGTGTATTTCCATCTTAGAAGTGAAGAAACTGGGGGGACCAGTAGTTGGCATAATGGCTATGTCACTGGGCTCCCAAGTAGTTGACCGTGGTTCGAGTCCCGGACCCGGTGGCTTAAACTCTCACCGGTACATGTGTGTGTGTACTCAAGATCCCGAGAGGAGAATGGAGGAGAAGGG